GGGGGGGGGAAGGAATGGTTCCTTCCTGCACCCTTCCCCAAAAGTCCTTCTGCAGAAAGCAACGCTGACTGCACCCCCACCCCCCCCAATATTTTAAACGAAGTTTGAATGGACATTTGGAATACTTCAAGTCAGGGCTGCTTAATTGCAAGACTTCAGTCAAAATCTAGACAGTGACCAAATTTAGACAAAAATTAAGCTACCGGATCTTTATTTTTTTCTGAAGCATAGATTAATGGAAACATGACAGCCTTTAAATATGTCCATTATGTGTAGGCATTTGTCAGATTTTAACTGTTGTAGCAATAGCCTCAATTTATGCTTAATTTACTGTTAAGGATATTAAAATTGCTTTAAAAGATGGTACAAAAAGCTGAATCTTTCCACTGGAGAAATTACTTTTGTTTATTTGAAACATGATTTTTTTTTTTCTTGCATATTAATATTGATCTTTAGAATTTCAAAAGCACTTTTTCATAAAGGCAGAAATTTTTAATTAATATAGTAATAAAATTTATTGAAGGTGACGTTTGTATGCTCAATTAATAGAGTATTTTACTGATAAATAATTGTAGGCTTAATTACTTCTAAACTGGCTTCAACAATCTGTCATTGGTAGAGTGTTAAAATAAATGTGACTCTTCAATTTTCTGTTTGCATTTATATGGACATGTTTTTCTCCCTCTGTTCTAGAACTACTAAATTGTTTGGAAAACTTTGTAGGAAATACCTCCTTGACACTTACTCTAATGCATTTTTAAAGCACCTTGAAAGTAACATTTTTCTTCCTTCTGGAAAGCTTTCTAGCTCTTTCAGGCAGCTGGAAAATTAACTAAAAGCAGATTGTGAAAGAGATACAATGTTGAGTTAACTTAAACTTACTTGTTTTCATAGTACATGACATTCTTCTTTATGATACATGCTAATAATGTAATCTTTTGTAAAATCTATTCAGGTGTAGAATTTGGGGCTCGAATGATAACTATTGATGGAAAACAGATAAAGCTTCAGATATGGGATACGGTAAGTAATAAATCATAGAACATATGGCTCCACTGGTTTTCCCTTTATTCTGGTTAAGCTCTCTATCTTCAACACCCATGTGAGACTATGTACTTTGTCTTGATCTTCCTTTGGTTTCTGTGAAGATCAAAGGTTGGCTAAAATTTCCTTTTTTGGTGTGATGTATTCTTGAAACAGTGCAGATTTTTGCTGTTTGCACTATAACTTTACTTCTTCAAGTAACACTGTCAGATTTGTAAGACTGGAATTCATGCTGCCTCCCTTTTTTCTGAAAATTTTGTGTATTATTAAGAACTTACATTTCTCTGTGCATTCATGCAAGGTTGGTTAATGTAACATCCTGTTGGGAAATTACGATGTGTCTACTGCCTTTAATCAAGAGTGCTCTGGAGGAAATGTTTGCATTTCCAACGTAGAAAAAAAGATGTGGCTCACTGTTTTCGTAGAAGACTTAAGAACTCAATTTCTCTGGAAGCATGAAGATAGTAAATACTTCAGACAGTCAGGAAGGGGCTGGTAAAATCTTAAAGTTTTGAAAAGCCTACCAAAAGCCAGACTGACTTTTGAGGGGGTTCAGGTTAAAAACATACATTAGCAAACTCAGCTGTTTTCTTTTTGCCAGTCACTTTACCATAGAGCAGTCAGCCTCAGTGTCTACACTTGTGATGCAGCAGCTTTAAGATGCTCATACTGATGACTATGTCCTTCAAATGGGCAGGGTTGTCTGTTTCCTCTTCTAAAAGCATTTTAGGATACCTTTAGAAAGTGACAGATACACTAGTCAATCTCATGTATGTGCTCTTTTTGGTATAGAAAATCAATGAAGGAGTGATACATTTATATATGCATGCCTACGTACATGCATGTGTATATGAGAATTAAACAAATGCAGTATTTTAGCCAATTTCCTAGGTAAGATCTGAAGTACCTTAGTAACTATACAAGTTCATCACCTGAAATGGCATCTAACAATTGTGCTTTCTTGGAAGTTCTCACTGAGAAGGTGTAGAAGAATGTGGTCAGACTGTGCTTGTTTTAGGCTTTTTCTGCTCCATGCATTTTTACTATTATAACTGTTGATTGCTGACTACCAAGGTGACTGGTTGTTTTTAAGTTCCAATAGACAAGCAATTGTCTGTATAAACAGTAGCTTCTGAAGCAAACTTTTTAATATGTGGTGTGGCTACATGAGAATATATCTACATTGGTCCTTATTTCCCCAAATTGGGACAGTTTCTCAGTAGACCAAATTATTCATTTCCCTACCAATGCAGACACTGTCTTTCATTGACTTTCAAACTAATTTTGTTAATGTGCTGTTATCTGCTCCTTGGATACAAGTGAACTTCAACTATTTTTGATTAGATTGTGTTTTTCTTGATGCCTGTGACTCAGTAGCTCTTCACAGTCTGTTTGGCTTCTTGAATTCATCGAAGGGTCTGATAGCCAAAATTTCAATGGAATTTCTTTTGATTATGACTTATAAACTCTTTTTGAGAAGGGATTTTGTCTGGATATCTTAAGTATATCATACCTAGATTAAAAATATTAGTTAAAAGCTTTCATACACTGATTGTGTGTATGCTTGTGTTGTAGTTAATAATTTATAAGTTGTAAGCAACAAGTTACAGTATATTGGCTGTAGTTAAAATTTTAACTGTATAGAATCTGATTTTTAAAACACAGGGTAGTTCTGTTCTTATCTTGATTTGTCAGTATATCTAAATTTCACTGTCTCGGTTCTCATCTTGCGTGCAAAGGTGTTGAAGGAATAGCAAAATAAGAAATATGATAAGGTAGAGAGAAATTTTATTTATGGGTGTTAAGGTAGGTAAAGATGTCCATAATGACCAAGGTTACTATGTCTGTATTGTGTATCTGTGTTGAGCATTTCCTGAATTTCTTTTGTTAGCGAAAACTGCTAACTGCTACTGGTGCTATCTCCCTATTTATTAAGCCATAACAGTTTCTGGTTTATAAGAAGCTCATTTTACACCTATGACTAAAGAAACAGTTTCAGTTACATTTTCGGTTAGTGCTTACTGAGTCACAGCACTAGCACTTCTCTGATTTAGTGCTAGGCTTACATACCTGCTTCTAACCCATCACTGAAAAGGAGGAATCTTGAGCAGAGATGTAAGAAGTGGAGAACTGGATAAAATCTGTTTTGACTGCTTAACAATGAATAAGGACTTGTTTTCTTAAGAGAACCAAACACTTAAATTCAGATTTTTCTGGCCAGATATTTCTATGCAGTGGTGCTCAGTTTATGTTGTCTTCAGCTACAGCTCCAAGGAAAGGTATGTCTTAATAATGGGAATATATGGAAGCTGCAGCATACCTCACTGTAAGAGTATGTCATAATTTACAGGGTCAGCTGAAGCTAACACTGTTGCATGTCTACATGAGATCCATTTCTGTGCTCTTGTACCATAACTTTGACTTTTTCATTGGCATCTTAATTTGGATCAGGAGTGTGTTACAGAAGTTAGCTCTGCTTACTGCAGTCTAGTTTTCCAGTGGGAGTACGCAAACTGAATTCTTTTTGGATAAGGCTGAAATGGAAGATATGCTCAAGGAATGCATGTGTGTCCGTTAGAAATTGTAGTCTGGTATTTGGTCCTGTGAGCTGGTAGTCTAAAAAAACTAATCTGATGCAAAAAAACACACCCAACACCACTACCATCACTCTTTCCCCCCCAAAACCAACACCACCCAAAAATCACATTCCATGAAAGATATTCAATGTGGCCCTTCAATATTTAGTGTTAGGTGTTTCAGTGTCAGCTCTACTTCTGATCGTGTCTACAGAAGCAAATAGTGTGTCCTGTTGTTCTCTCCAGCTGCAGGCTGCTCCTGATCTCCCCGCTGCTGGGCTCTACAAGCTTGCTGCTGTGTGCTGTGGCATGCCCAGGTTTTAGGTCTGCAAGTCCTTGGGTTTCACTTTTTCTGATGCATTTAGGTCAGTCAAGGGGAGTGCAGGTATTGGACCAAATTGTTCATTTGTCTTGTCTATCTTTAGTCTCTAGATTATTTCCTTTCCTATGTCTTTTAATCTTAGTAACATCTTTCAATAGTTGGATAGACTGAGATGTTTTTGTCAAAACTGGTTAGTTGGTAATTGCCTGCTATAAGAAGTTAAGCTACTGTTTTGTAGAAGTGTGGTGTTCAAGGTAATGTCAGTTGCATAAACAACTTTTAGGGAACTAGAAGTGGTCTACAGAAACTGGTAAGGATCAAAATGACCGTTCTGGGAGCTATTAAGCTTTGTGAGTTTAAACAAGCTGTGTAGATGAGGTTGTTTGTCTTGTGACCATGTAACACTGAGAAATACTAAAATTGCTTCTCCTCAGGAAAAAAAAAAACCTGCATTGTTGCAGAGAGATACTGGGCTTGTTACCAGGCTGAGTCAGTAGCCTTCATTTTGTTGTTGAGGGGGATGTTCTGTATTGTATTGACTGTTACTAACAAGTCATTGTTGATGAGTAAAAATAAGCAGTAGTTGAAAGAAGGAATTTTAAGTTCTCTCAAATGCTGCAGTGAGAGAGATCAGTGGTGACACTAATCAATACTGCTTATGTTCTCTAAATTGATATGAATAAGAATTTTTCCTGTGTATTTAAATTTTATTAATCATTATGTTTCTATAACACTTCAGTCTTGCTTAGACTAAGACTGGTCTTGCCCAGAATAAAACTAAATATATGAAATAATATTTTCTTTTTTATAAGCTAATTACAAGTAATTTCTTAGTTTCCATAGAAGTGAACTTTCTAATTAAATTGTTAGTGTTTTCCAGTAGTTGAAAGCTTGCACAAAAATGCACATTTGTGCAAGGTGGAAGGCATCATCACTGAAGGCATGTCTCTTTCTTCCCTAAAATCATTGCGTGACTCGTCTGTCCACTTTCAGATACTCTGAATACGCTAATCCTTCTTGGAAATTCAGCTTTTTCATGTATTTGCAAATTCTTTGCATCTAGTAGAACTGAATAAAGTTTGCTTAATTCACTAAATGAATATCCACTTCATCTTGGTGACATTGATAATTGCTAGGATGTAGTGCTTACCCCCCAAGTTCTTTACTAATTGTCTACTTCATGATGTTTTCTACTTGCTTTGGTAGTCAGAGCATATTTTTATGTTCATGGACATTTGGTGAATTCTTCTACAGTATTTTTATTAATTTGACTCTTACCATTGCACCTGCAAGAAAGTGGCTCCATCTTGCAGTTCATTTATGATGACTCAGTGCTCATGGCCCTGTTTTACTGCTGTTAAGTAGTATCAAGAACTTGGAGAGGATCTCTTTTGGTTCCTGAAAGTAGTTTGATCATCAGTTCACAGACTGGTTTGGCTGCTATATGTGAGCATTAACTTCTTCCTGGATTCATGGATGAGGGGGAACTTGTCCATTTAATAGTTGTTATTGTTGCAGTTTGTGTAACAGGGACCATCATCAAGAACTTCAGTGCCAGTAGCGAGGTTACTGTTCACATCCATGATGGTACTTTAGGAAGCTAAGGTAACTTGATACACCATCTATCTTAAGTGCTCACAAACCTTTATCTGTCATGTGCATAAATGTGTTTGGTTATTGAAATAGTGTATTATTGGTATTTTATTTTCTGACTGATTATAGATTTCTTGTCAGTTTATCTGTGTCTTTCTATGGTAATAGAGAAAGTTCTTGCTTAGGATAAGGCCTTAGGTGGAAGAAGGGCAAATCACTTCCTTAGTAGAACTCCCATTTTAATGAGGGTACTACTTAAAACCTAAAGGTTTCAAATATATTTATAACCTGAAATAAATCATAAGGGTACTTCTAATAATGGAAGAGTAAAGCTTTCTGTTTCTATGATGTGTTGGGAATTGCTCTGGATGTCTAAATGGCATGTATTCAATAACATCAGAAGAAAAGGCATATGATCAGTATTTAGACATATGTACAGTTTCACCCTTGGGGATCTTTAGTCCTCTTGAAATTTCAGTTCCTATTAGGATACTGACAAGGTTATTCTGAAGCCACATGTAACTTGGCTGAATTCTTCGCATAAATTCTGACACTTTCTTGAATTGTTGTGGGTTCTTCTTCATAAGCATCTTCAATTCTTGGTCAAGAACGTCTTTGGAAAGCAGCAGGAGTTTTTTATTTTTATACTACTTTTGTGCCTATTATTTGTACTACATGCCAGTAAATCACCTTAAAATTCTTTTTATTCTGGAGTAGAGACGTGATTGCAACAAAGATTAATGTATTTGTATAAACAAGTTGCTATGTGACTAAAAGGCTGTTAATTTATTTATAACTCTCAAAACTATGTTCCAAGGTATGTATTGCTCTTCTCTTTCTGGAACATTTTGTTCCAGGGATCAGCTTTGTGGAGTAGTTCCCAATTGTCATAGCTAGTGTGACACTTGTGTGAGTTAGCTGTTTCTTAGATGTCTTTTTAGTTTTCTATATAGCTTATGAAAGTGTAAACAAGTTTAAATGAGTAATAGTTCCCAGTGTGAATGAGGTGTTCCGTCACCAGTTTTAAGCATACTGTATGTGTATGTGCCTTGTAAGAGTGAAGGAGTCTAGAGCTACTAGCTGTGGTGCATTGGAGTTTCTCATTTTTCATGTAGATGTATACTATAAAGTTTCCTCCTAATAAAAATGATTGGTCAATTTGGGTGTTGAAGGCCTGCTGGGATGTAATCATATAACTTTGTCCTTGAAGAAACTTTCTAAATTCTTTAGCATTGAGAATAGAGAGTTCAGTAAAATGAATGGACTGTTTTCTAGGGAGATGTGCTGTTGTGGATCCTATTTCATTTTCTAACTACTTTCTTGTACTGCATCATGGCTCTTCTTTTTATTATTTTTTTTCCCTTTAGTTTACCGCAGTTAAGGAACTTTCAAGGAACCCTTTTTGATAGCAAAGACTTGCTTGCATATTTTGCAACTGACAGCTACATGACTGCACCACACACTTGGAAATGACACAGAGATTTCCTATAGGAATACTAACACTTGGAGTCTTTTCTCAAATGTGCCATAGATACTGTGTCAGTAGTAACACAGTTACATAGCTTAAATGTTCCTGAAAACTTGAGTGCCGGCCCTAAATCTTTGTGTATCTCTACAACCTAAGTTGATTGATAATGTTTCATATTGTGCTTACATCATTAATTTGAAACTGTGTTTTGGCCTCTATACCAAGTTATATTCAGAGAAGCAAATGGGATATATGTCCATGCAGTTTTACAGTTCAAGCAGGGATGAAGATTTTTGTACTATTCTGAAGGCTTATAACTCCCAGAACTATGATTATATATATCAGAAAGTTTTGTTTTTGTTAACCAATATGATATGAATTTTAAAAGCTTACAGTCCAGAAAACAGCTAAAAAGAATGTTCCTAGCACTTAAAACATCACTTGTTTATCAGAGGCCCACATTTTTTCATGACTAGTGAGCTACTTGTGTCAAAGATAGCACCCTTTTCTCTTGAGAGGGTGCATGTTCAGGCCTGTTCAGTATGCATTTATTTGGACCTGTAGGCAACCTTGTCTGAGCTAGAGTTTCTGTATGTGAAATAGCTGTCATGGTCTGTCTGTTACCAAAAAGATGTTTCATTTTCCCCTTTCCACTGCAGTGTAATTCTGAAATTCTGGGGATTGCGTTGGAGCAAAGGCTTGTGTTGCCTGTACTAGATGTAATACAGCTGTGGGAAATACCCTGTTTAACATTCATTTAGTGGCTACTGCCACTGTTGCACCCACACTGAGCAATGGCACAGGTTGCCCAGAGAGGTTGTGGAGTCTCCATCCTGGGAGATCCTCAAAAGCCATTTTGACATGGACCTGGGTAACCTCCTCTGAGTGGTCCTGCTTGAGCTGGGGGGTTGTAACAGATGACCTCCAGAGGTCCCTTCCCACCTCAACCATTCTGTGAGTCTATGAAAAAAAGCTTTTTAATATGGAAGAGAAAAAAAGTGCTGCATTTTGGGGGAATGTGGAAAGGATGGTAAGAACAATGTTAATTCCACATAAAATGGAATTATGGTATCAAAGATGGAATCTGAAGATACCAAAGATGGTATCTAAAATGGAATCTCTGGTATCAAAGCTGGTTTAAATTTATACTAAGCTTCCATATTGCTATTTCTGTATGTTGCTCCTTGTAGCAAGTAGCTAAACTTGTGTTGGTCCTACTTTGCAAGACTGATAGAAGTACAGTTGAAACACACTTGTTGGTTTGGGGTTTTATTAAGTCTATTTTGGCTAATAGCCTATGCTTTTTATCTTCTTTGAAATAGGTTGTTCCTCAGGTAAAAAAAAAAAGGGGGGGAGGCAGATCAAATTGTCAGATGAAAAATGCTTAAATTAATAACGATACTAAAAAAAGCTGTGTAGTATTTTCTACATACCTGACCATGCTATACTGACCTTCTAGATCTCTCATTCAAAAAGATACTGTTAAAATAAACAGTATATTATATAGATATAGAAGGTGATTATTTTTATTTTATGGATAATATAAATATATATTATATAAATGTAGAAAAAGGGTTTCTTTACAGAAACTCAAGGTTTTTTCTGTTTAGAATGAAAGGGAATTCAGTTTGTGTTGTGCTTATATATACCAATAGACAAATTCATTAACTGCTATGTAGAAGATTGTATCTTTGGTGAAGAAGGGGTAACATTTTCCTCCCTTTCTCTAGTATTTCCTTCAGGAAGCAATGATGTTTTACTTGCTCATGATGAAATTTAAATACTTAAAAATGTTACAGTATTTTCAAGATTTAAATACTGAACTTTAAGTGATTCTTGTAAGAACTCTCAGTTCTTACATTCTTGTAAGATCTGCTAGAACCTCTGGCAGTCTTGGGTTGACCATGATTGATTTACTCAGGGAGATGAACAATTTCGGGTGTCAAGGTGGAATTTATGAAGGTGAAGCAGGCAATCTTAATGTGCTAGACTGTCCACTTAATGTATTATCTTAAGCAATACATGGAATACACTGTTAACAATAACTTGTCTGTTTTCTAGTTAGGAGGGAAATGTTTTATGCATCTACCATGCACTTGAGCTAGTCACTGCACCAAGAAAAAGTTGCAGAGCTTAGTGCAGCTTCTGGGTAAGGAACCAAGAATTGCACTAAAAATTTGATCTTTTCACTGTTCATCAGTGCATTCTAGCAGATTGTCTGTGTTCTGTTACCTTAGTTTACATAAAGATGCACTTGGATTCTCGGCCAAGTGCATATTATAGTGTATTCTAATTGTGTTGAAACTATTCAGTATATTGTCTCTTTTGTAACTTTTTCCACTGGAATGGTGAAGAGAAAGTGTTTTCTTAAACCAAAGTAAAGTATTATTTTTGGAAGATAATGATGCTTTCTGAAGGCTAAACATGTTGAAACTTGTGACACTGTTCCTGTTCAGTGACAGAATCTTAGACTAAGTTCTTGAATTCAAAAAGACCTTATTAAGAAAAGTACAGTAACTGTGAGAAGAGAAAGTTCTCTGTATACTGATTTTTTTCTTTTACTCTGTACACTAAAGGGTAGCTTGTATTTGATAAATATTTCATTCTTTTCATGGTTTTAAATAAGGGTAACTTCCTATGGTTCTGCAGATAACTGTCTTATTTCATATAGGGGTTTTTCAGCATTAATATTAGTATTTCTTAATTGTGTTCTCTGTTATCTTTGAATTATGCTAAAGCCTCTGCTATTACTAAATACTAGAAGCAAATGTTTCTTCTAAGAACTGTCAGGTGCTAGATAGCACCTCCAAAAACCATGAGCATGGGGAGCTCAAGATCTGCAACTATGAATATGTATTTTTCAGGACTGTGTTCTTTGAGCATGTTCTTTGAAGTGCTGAGGTTTTTACTTTTCTGAGAACTATTAAATTTATGTAGGATCTCTGAAGTTTTTCACCAGGGCATATGAAGATGACTCTTGCATCCTGTAGCTGTTTTGACAAGCATTATTTATCAAGTACAGAGGAAATTGATTAACTGTGGAGTGGAATTGTGTAAAATTGAATTCAGAACTCTTTTCTGTTTTTTTCATAATAAAATGATTACTGAAAGAATTCCATCTGAAGACTGTTGAAAGCTGGCTGCAGTTTATGATATAACGGATAAAATCTGCATCCTTGGCCTTCCAACAACCTTTACACCAGCAGATGGTGGGCGTAAAGATGTCATTCATCATTTATTTACAATGGACTTTATTTATTCTAGTGTCAACAGCTGCCCCAGGGAGCGGGTTATTGAATTCAAATGTGAAGCTCTGGGTTATTTGCTTCCTTTCAAATTTGTCTTCAGAGCTTAGTTGCTAGGAGTCCATTCTGTGCTCTAATAATGATTCATGTATTGTGAAGCCATTCAGTAAATTGGGTTGTCAGGGATTGCCAAAAAAGGTTTAGAGGTCTTGTTCCGATTTTTTTTTTTTTTTTTTAACAGCACTATGCAATAGTTGCTGTCTTCTCCTTATGTGCCTTCTCTTGCTAAAGACTGTTTCCAGTTGTCCCCTCTCTGATTTCTTCTCCATACTCCTCCTTGTCCCTGCCCTCTCAAAAGTAGAATTCTGTGATTCTAAGTTTGTGGGTTTCAGCACCAAAAATTAAATCTGATATGAAATAATGAAATTTTGTCTTCCACAGGCAGGGCAGGAGTCCTTCCGTTCCATTACAAGGTCATACTACAGAGGGGCAGCAGGGGCTTTACTAGTGTATGACATTACAAGGTGAGAATACTGTGGAAGTATAACTGGATTAAAATTATCTGTCTTTGCAGAATTGTGCTATGGTATATAGCAGTGTTAAAATGTTTAATTTAGATTAGCTTTTTGAATTGATATTTGTAATTTGGCATTTTGCCAACTTTGCTTAAGTGCTCAAAATCAAGATACAGCCTATGTAACCTATGTACTTCCAATTTTCTCTATATAGTAGTTGAGAAAAAGTATACATAAAATCTCAGGAAGAATGAAACAAAACATATGTATAAACTATTTGACCATGAACTTCTGGATTATCTTTATTGAGAAAGACATTAAAATATTTCATTAATACCTTTCTAGTGTTTTTATTACTGAGAGCCGATTTTTTTACTGAAGTGTCATTCTGCAAAGGAGTGAAATAGTAAAACATCAAAGCCTGGTTACATAAAAATACCAGGAAACTTCTACCATTGCTGTGTTTATGAGATTGGGAAAACAGAGGTCTTGGCATGATTTTTGTAGCAGTCGTTCAGAAGTGACTGAGGTTTTCCTGCTGTATTGAATAAAGTCTCTATACAACTTATCTGCAAAACTGTGGGTACTGTGGCTGGTTTATAAAAATGTTCCGGCTCTAAAACCCTATTAGGGTTTGTGGCTCTCTGTGTGGATCTTGGGTCTTGTTGCTGAATTAAGCAACAACTTTTACTAGAGATTTCCTAGACGTTTTTCCTTTTGTTCCCATTTATTTTTAAATATCAGGAAGCAACGTATTCTTTCCGTTAGATTTCCAGCAAATGAATCTTTGATTCATAAATAGATGTTTTTTCTTTTGTGAAATCTTAAACATGCTTCACAAGTATGTGATTTAATATTTAGTGTGCACATTCTGTAAAATCTGACACAAATATGGCATGTTAATCTTAAAAAGATTCTGCTGCTAAATTCAGTTTATAAACCCACAGAAAATTGTCAATCATTTTCTAACTTCAGTAGAACAAAAATTACTATATGAGTATGTGATTATTTGTACTATTATTTGAATTGATTGAGGCTGTTAGGGACTTCTAAAATTCCATTCAGCAGATTTTATGTATATAAAATTACAGATTCTTACAGCTATAAGAATCCTCTTTACTGTTTGTAGCAAACATGTTTTCAATTACTTTTTAGGCAGAGTTCATTAATGTTCCTGTTTACTAAATTTTTGTTTGCCTATTCTCCCTCTCCACAAAGGGATTACTAGCTTTTATCCCTGGAGCATGTGTACTAATAAGTGAGTTGGTTACTCAGGTAGAGAAGCTGACTAACAGAAGGGAAAGAGATTTCTTGAAATACTGCTTTTAATTTTTATTCTCTTCTGTACTTAGGAGGGACACTTTCAACCACTTGACAACTTGGTTAGAAGATGCTCGTCAACATTCCAATTCCAACATGGTTATAATGCTTATTGGAAATAAAAGGTAACTAGTTATGATTTTTGTAAGTGGTGAAGATCTATGACTTATCTGTATTTCAGCTTTTTTTGTTTTCTTATTTGTAGGGAGTATTTTAACTTTAAATTACTTCCAGTCACTGGAGGTAGTTCTATAGCGAATCTAAAACCTTTCCTTTTCTGATTAAACTAATACAGTGTGCAGCACATGTGGATCAACTACCTTATGCTCTGAGTACCTTTTTTAGAAATTTTCTTTTAAAAGGATTGACTGTGAATTCATGAAGTCATGGATTATATGAATTATTTTTCTTGTTACCTTCTTTTTTACATCTGGAGTCACCATTTAGAAGCACCTAGATCTCTCTCATAAAGAGAATATGGCTCCTAATTTTAGGTGTTCTAAAGTACTTTGGGTTTTGGTTATGAATCACAACAGAGAAAATTCTATTTTAAAAAAAGAAGCCTGTACTACAGGATTCACTTTGAACTTTTTACATTTGAGAAAAATTTTTGTACCTCAGAGATTGAGATGTTTCAGAATTCTAAACCTGTTTTGTATTCTGTATATCTTAGCTGGGTTTGAGGGTAGAGAATGTTTTTTCACCATTTCCTGCTAAGTTCAGACTGCTCTTAGACACTGGGTGATGACAATACAACTGAAAGTGTTGGAAGTGTGTTAACCGATTTGTAAACAATTAAGTACTTGGTCTTCTGATCAGCTGGACTGTCCAAAGTTCTAAAATGGTTCCCTATTGATGCTGAGACTTTAGTCTGTATTAAAGGTGTTTATAAAAACACATCAGTGAATACATTAAGTCTTATATGTAATTTTTCTAGGTCTTGATGCAGTGAACTGTAGCATCATGTTAAGATTTTTTTTTTCTGGATGTAGGATTTTTCCAAATATCAAAAGCATCATCTCAGAATTTAATAACCCATTAGTTATGGACCTTTACCTAATTGACCCTAACTTGACTCTGTGCCTCCACAATTCTTGAAGGTAAAGATGCCAGTTGAAATAATGGTGTGTATGCTTGTCCCTTAAAATTTAATGAGCAGATAGATAATTTCTTAGATATTACTGAGAAACAGTACTCTGGCTTTGCTACTCTGGGCTGTTCATTTCTTATTTTATTCTTCTTTCCCCTTGTTCCTTCTGTTGTCTTCCCTCTGCCCCTCACCCTCTACCTGCCCCTGAAAAACTTGTTAAACTTGTGAAGCTTGTCCATGTTTTTATACGTAATCTGGAAAATGACTTAACTATGCTCTTTTTAATTGAGGAATGTGATAAACATAGTCTTCGCAAATTAATATAAAAATATAATGTTTTATTAAATGAAGCTTTGGTAAGCCTGTAATGTCCCTGACCAACTGTTTTTATGCTTATGTGAGTAAAAATATGGCACTGAGTGAAACAGTAGAGCCTACTGTTTACTTGAGATAAGTATTACATAAGTTTGCATACTTAGTTGACATCTGTAACTATTCCTGATTATTCTTAGCTATTGAACTAAATTTGTATGTCTTGCATTCGGCTGATGCAGACTATACCACATGTTTGTATGTTATAATATGCTACTTGCAGCTAGCTTAGTATTCCCAGTTACAACTAGGTTTTATACAAAGAAGAAATAGACTTAAATGATGTATTTGAAGTAACAGATTAAGGTGCTACATGAAGTAAAAATTCTTTAAGAAACTTTTGAAAGGGGACTATTTTCAAGCCTCAAAGAACAGGATGGGGGGAAAAAAACTTCAATTATATTACATTATCCTGAAAGTGTGTTACAGGAGCTCTTATGGTAGGGCATACTAGTAGAGATGGATGGAAAGAAGAATGTGTGTACTAGCATAATGTTTTTGAAGGAATATATTTTGTTCTTATGAGTCCCAAAAGTGCACTTGATATACATTTGTAGTACTGACTTATTGATGGATTTGAAGAATGTTGTGAATTTAATCTGAAATACAATATCTGTTTTTAAAAAACATTGAAAATACTAGTGTTAAAACATGACAAATACTGTACTTAATCTTTCCAGAAAAAAACATAGCTATATTGACCTAGTAAGACCAAATGCTTTGAATTATTGGAATGGAGAGAGGAAGACAACTGTGGTTAGTAGAAGCAGTTAAAGCTCTTTAAGAATATGTTTAGATATGAGTAGTGAGTTTTGACTGTTATCACTGCAGTTTTCAGTGCAGCTGCACTGTTTCAATTCAAAAGAGTTGTTTCTTTCTGTTCTATCATGGAGATAACACTCTAGTGATTCAAGGTTTCAGCAAATTAAGACATTGCTCAAGTTCAAAAATACAATGTCGGATAGCTACTTCAGGGACGTGAGAGTGAACTACTTGTTAAGCTATCTTGAGCCTGAGGCTGAGATACTGGGAAAGCTTACATGTAATGAACATCAGCTTTAAAATTGAGAAGACACTTCTTGCATCCTTACTGTCAAATGCTTTATGTTTAAATGATGTATTGAATTGTCCTGACTATATAACTCATCTGAGCTAGCATGTAGTTATAAAAATAACAAAAGCCTGCTTTGCTGCAGAATAGATGCCACAGTGAGTATCGTTGATTTTTTTAATACATGTATAATTACAAGGATGGCAGCACTGAAGCCCAGTATACTTTTTACTGCTATTCTAGCTGCAAGTTAAGCTTCTGTATTCACACACTATTTAGTTTTAAAATGTGTATCTGAAGGTATTTTTACATGCACAACTTAAATGAAACTTTAAATATATGTTATTATTTATGTGTAAATGTAGCATTATTATTGCTCAAGAGGTAATGCATTTACAAATAAGGACAAACTGTGTACACCTTTTTCCTAAAGAAGCTTTAAAAAGTAAGAGTAGGATACTTAAGTGTCTACATGACTTAGAGAAGCAGATTTGTCTTTAGCTGTCCAGTCCAAGAGTTGTTTCCTATTCTTTTCTGTAATATTTAACTTTAACTGCTTGGAAAACAAGAAACTGTAAAATAGTCACTTCATATTTTTCTGCTCTTAGAGGGCCAGGCCTGAAGTTCCAAAACCTAAATGCTAGTTTGTTTGGAGAGAACAGCTAATGTAGTTCAAAATAACATTTTTGCTTTTAAGTCTTTTTATCAGAACAGAAATTGACTGTATGAAGTTTTGTTACTGAATACAAATAATTAAAAATAACTTTAAAAATAAAGTTTGTAACATTAAGAAATAATTTATAAAATTCCCTTATCAGTTCAGCTTTACAGTGTGAACTGGTAGATAACATTATAGTAGAAAAGAGTGATATTTACCTAAAATGACAATGTCTGTAGTTAGCATTCAAGGAATAACTAGATAAATGCACATGCCTCCTGTTGAAAGCCTTTAAGTCTTTAAGATCTGTGTCAGCTAGGATTGATAGCTCAAGCAAGTGTGATGGCTGTGGCTGCTCCATATACTGTAAGTGCAAATCTTACAACGATTCTACTTTATTCATATGTACATAAGTTCTAATGGGGGCTCTTGACCTCTCAGCATGTCTCTGAGGAATAATATATATAGACAGGTTAGACCATGCAACTAACTTTTTTTTTTTTTCTTTTTCCATCTTAGTGATTTAGAATCTAGACGAGAAGTCAAGAAAGAGGAAGGTGAAGCATTTGCACGAGAGCATGGGCTTATCTTTATGGAGACATCTGCCAAAACTGCTTCCAATGTAGAGGAGGTAACTTTGCTGAATGCTGGTGTTTTAGTAAAACAGTTGTTTTGAATTGTACTTTGGTATTTGTACAAATACTATTCCTCTAGGTTTTAGATTCTTTAACTTGAATTATAGAACAGTTTGGGTTGGAAGGGGCCTTAAAGATCATCTAGTTCCAACTCCCCTGCCACAGGCAGGGACACCTTCCACTAGACCAGGTTGCTCAAAGCCCCATCCAGCTTGGCCTTGAACACTTCCAGGGATGCCCCATCCACAGCCTCTCTGGGCAACTTGTTCCAGTGTCTCACCACCCTCACAGTGAAGAATTTCTTCCTTATATCTAATCTCAATCTAACCTCTTTTAGTTTTAAACCATTACTTCTAGTCCTATGACTACACTTCCTGATCAAGAGTCCCTCCCATCCTTCCTGCGGGCCCCCTGTAAGTACTGGAAGCCACTATAAGGTCTCCCTTCTCCAGGTCTTTGTAAGGTCTTTATAAGGTCTTCTCTTCTCCAGGCTGAATAACCCCAACTCTTTCAGCCTGTCCTCGTAGGGGAGGTGCTCCAGCCTCCCGATCATCTTCAGCCCTCCTGGACCCTCTCAAGCAGGTCCATGTCTGTCTTACGCTGAGGGCCCCAGAGCTGAACATAGTATTGCAGGTGGGGTCTCATGAGAGTGGAGTAGAGGGGAAGAATCACCTCCCTCAACCTGCTTGCCACCCTTGGTGCAGCCCAGGATGTGGTTGGTTTTCTGGGCTGTGAACAAACATGGCTGGATCATAGTCAGTTTTTCATCCACTACTATTCCCAAGTCCTACTCTGCAGGGCTGCTCTTTATTGAGCACTCTTTATATTATGGGAAACACAATGTCTACGTTGTATCTGATTGTATAGCACTAATTATATTGTTGACACTCTAGTAATAAAAAGCTTGTTTAGTTTTTTAAATACTTGTTCAGAGAAAGGAGTACGTCTGTCTGCCCTGAAATCTAAAAAGACTAGAATAGATTTGCTAGTCTGAAGCAAGCCAAGCTATTGGTGTCCTTGGCAGATGTCAACCTGTTCTAAAGACCTTTAGTATTTCACAGGCTCTTCAGAGCAATCTGTTTCACTGCTATGGTATTTGTGGTATTGTCATCTTTCCCCTCTGCTACCTAGCAGGAATCTTCTTTGCTGCAATTCATGCACACAATTTCTCTCCTCTACAGAACTGCTGAAGTGGTCATTATCTTGGTTGCTATAGTCTACTGTGTGTTTGAATAAGTTGTTCAGTCTTTGCTGTTTTAAAGAACTTATGGGTTTTTAAAGTTTTGTTTATATTCTTTTTATTTGCTTATATTCATATTTCTGGACATATGTGAGTGTTTATATCTCACCTTGATTTACTGCACGCCTTTCTTAAAGGGTTGTTGTGGTGGGTTGACCTCAGCTGGCAACTAAGTGACCATCCAGCTGTTTATTCACTCCCCCTGTCCAGCAAGATCGGGGAAAGAACCAGAAGAGCCAAAGTGAGGAAAAACTCAGGGGTTGAGATAGAGTTTAATAAATGAAGGAAAGGTGGGGGGGGGGGAGAGAATAATGGAATGACAGTTACTCAGCTTCCCACAGATTGATTCCCAGCCAGTATCTGAGCAAGAGATACTTTGGAAAAACTACCCTTAGGCCAGTTCTGGTCAGCTGTCCTGGTTGTGTACGCGTGTGTGAGTGTGTCCCCTGCTGCCCCATCAGATTTTGTCTAGCCTAAGCCTAATCACTGCAGGGAGCAGAGCAAGAAACAGAAAACCTTGACACTGTAAGCACTGCTCAGCAGTAGCTAAAACATTGGTGTGTTATCAACACTGTTTTAGTCGCAAATCCAAAACACAGCACCCTACAGGCTGCTGTAGAGAAAGCTAACTTCATCCTAGCCAGACACAGTGCAGCTGTGGATAAAGAGTTCTAGCTGAGATGTTAGTGTTATGTAAAGCAGAAAGGTTGCTTCACATGTCTTTCAGGCCCATACTCAGTTTGTATGTCCCCACTGACCTTTTTTATAATAGCATGGCATAGTTCAGCTGCTCATACTATGTAATCTGCCCATACTATTTTCCAAAACTGTCCTAAGTGCAAAATGGTGGCCAACTGATGAGGTATTCTTTTAGTGGTAAAGCTTTCTAGTTTTGAAATATTTAGTATTTTTTGAAAACTTACAGTAGAGTAACAAACAGCTCTCATTGACTTCACTGTCATTTGTTACTACCTGATTCTACTATTAGCACCTCTCTCCATGTCAAAAAAATACATGGTAGCGAATGAGTTGTCCAGTACCTAATGCATCTCTGATCATCAGGAGGAAAATGAGCACTAATTTATTTGTCAGAAAAGTTCAAATAGAATCCTCTCCTCCTGATGATACGAGTGAATGATTATATGCATGTACTAATTTTCTAATTCTGTTGGAAAATCCTGAGGGTATAATCCTTTTTAGTGACAATCAAATGCACTCCTTACACGGTATTCTTAGTCAACACTAAAACAAGTGATGTGGTCTGGAATAGCTACAGCTGAAGGAGCAAAATCTTAATATTTGGGCCAGTAAAAATAAGTGAAGAGAAATAGCAGGCACACAGTAGGTGAAAGAGATCATTTTGTGGACAAAAAAAAAAGACTATTTTCATTTTAATGCTGATTCTGGGCTGTTCAGTATCAAAGAATAGAAGGGAATGAGGAAAAAAAACATACGGAATGGGCAACATTTGAGGAAAGAACAGGAATTATGCAAAGTAGAGTCACATCTAGCAAACTTGACTTCAGAACTGGAAAAGAATGGTAGTTTTGTGACTGAGTATATAGAAACTAAACAGGAAGAACAACATTTGAGGTAATTCAACTAAAATTAGATTACATTTTAAGCAGAAGAAATCTGTGGCCCTGTGTCTATAAATGTTATCTTGTGTGGTGGCAATGGAGAACACTTTCACTGGCTTCTTTGGGAAGCTAAGGACTGAGAAATTAATACTGTTGAATTTTTACATTGATGGAAATACACTGGATACAAAAAGCTGGATGTTGCAAGTCTCTGAATTTGCATCTAGATTATTATATTGGATGTTTGCAAATGCATTTGTGTCAAAAGTATTGAAGCAGACACTTCTATTATTAGGTTTCAGATAAATTGTCTGAATATTTCTTATGCATTTAATTTGAGTCTTGGAATGCTCTTCTTTTCCAAAAGTACTAAGCTATGGGGTTTGGGGGGAGAAGGAATATCCCCTTAATTACTCAGCAGCATTTTTAATCCATGCTGATAAATCACTGATGACTATATTGCATCATGCATGGGTTATGTAGTTAACTGTTACAGTGCCAGAATACTGTAGAAATCTGTGAAGTCAAACGTGTCTGCCTAAGATACAGCATCAGCAGTGTGAAGGAGCGGGGGATTTTACTTGAGAGAAGGATATAGCCGAGGAGCAAAATGGTAGATGTAGATTTTGACTGGCTAGCAGCAAAGACATGCAAACAAAAGTTTACACGAATACAGCTTCAGAAATTCTTAAGAATTACGTGCACATATTAGGTCTCTACTCTGTATTTAACAGTCTTATTGAATGATAAAATTAATGTTTAATTTTTAATTCAGTTATCAGCCTCCTGTCCTTCTTACCCATTTGTAGGAAATATTTCTCATAAAGGGTCCTTTGGAGAAAGACGCTATTACTATAAGGCATGTGCATATGGAAGTGCATATATATAACAGGCTAGAACATTCCCAGATAACAACTGGTGTCTTGTTTCCTCTTTCCCTTCCCAAAAGAGGGATTTTACCATACTGAGATCATGTAGTTGCCTAATAAAGCCTTGGCCTGATGCATTTGTGCCTGTGTTGTGTAGCTTAGTGGTTGCTATACGAAACAAAGTAGTAATGGAAGTGTTTTTCTGCATAGGGTATTGAACGAAGTAGTGTAAGTTGGATTGCCCAGGAAAGTGGCAACAAAGAAGCTACACAGTATCTGGTAATAGGGCTTAAACTACTCTTCCATCTATTTAAGAAAAAGTTAGATCTAAATTTGAGGTATCTGTCCAAAGTAGAATTAGGAAGAATATCCATTTTTTCTGGCCAGACATGTTTTGCAGTTTAAAGGGGGGTGGGTGGGTTTCTCACTACACAGATGGTTTTCAAACTTTGCTTTTTGATTCTGAGGCAAAAGTAGTCGTGGCAAAAGAATCAAGACCATGAAGGGTTTAGAAATAATAATTTTGGATTGTTCAGAGAAGCCCTTTCTCAAATCGCTTGAATTTTGTAGTTCTCTGCAGCCTACCTCAGTATGTGGAAGCAGTCTATCTCCTAAACATACATGGCTGCTTGAAATACTAGTCAACAGAACTTTATTTTAACAAAAATGCTTTTAATGCATGTTTTCAGAGTAGAAAATGGGGTAAACATCTTTAGTTCTTTAGGATGGCTGCTTGTATCAGTGATTTCTGAAGTGGTAAGGGAGCTTCCTAGGCAATTCTAAAAATCTTCTAAGGTAATTCTTCATGGGAAAAGTAAATTTCAGAAGTATTTTGAATTAAATGACTCTGCTTTGTAAAAAAACAAGGTTGAATCAGTCAATTTTTTTTGAGCTGTTCACACTGCATTGTTAAGTGGTTTTAGATTATAGCAGATGGATTAATTCTTATATATCTTTTGGTTGACATCAGTTACCACTGTACAGTTTGCATCCTACAGGTGTAAAGAAACTATAGCAAGTGCTTTTTACCTGTTTTAATTATTCTTGAGACATTGTTAGCTCTACAGGTTACTGTGTTCTTCTCAGTCCCACACAGTTAGTGGATTATCTATCCACATTCCACGTTTTCTGAACAGCTACTTGGGTAGGGGCATTACCTTGTATACTACCAGGTTTGTTCTGCTACCTCAGGAAGCTTTGGCTGCTTACCACAGAAGCATTTCTACAGCATCTGGTTCAAGATCTGGCATGTGTTTCTTAATATTGTCTCTAGTCTCATGTCCAGACTAACACCTGGCCCTGCAGCA